ACTGGTTCTTCTCTCTATTTGAACAAGTATTCATGGAATAAAGGTAACACTATTTTTATTTTTATTTTCTCTTTACTTTTTTTATATTATTTTCACATCAAAAAAAAAAAAAGAACTAAGACATTGAAAAATTCTTAATAAATACAGTGGCAAATATTCTTTTTCTGGAATCACCAGCTGGTGTTGGTTTCTCTTATACAAATACAAGCTCTGATCTTAAGGATTCTGGAGATAAAAGAACAGGTAAATATACATTTCTTGATATTAATTTTTCAATAATTACATCTAGGATGATCTTACAAAATTGTGTATCATTCTATATAGTTTAACTTATATTATACCGACAATGTAAAATATTTGTACACTATCATGTCACTCAAAGATGACTATAGGTAATGTTCTCAATAATTTTCACCAAAGGGGAATCCACGATTTTAAAGTGGTAGGGGCACATGAGCGGACTGCCCAACCAGTTATCCGATATGACTTTTAATTTAAAGAGTTTCAAGTAAAATATATGATCGTTTATGCATATATAATCAGAACTTTTACTGAAATTAACGCGGTCCAATAACCCCTCTACTCCAAACATAAGTCCGCCTATAATTTTCACACTGTCACAATATATAATTTAAATCCTTGTATGTAACCTTAATACAATTTTTTTTGTGGTTTGTAAAAACCTTCCAATACTTAAAATAAAATTTAAATCTATTAATTAACAGCTTGTTTGGATGGTTGTTACGCATCATTTCATAATGTATCGTATCGTACTGTATTGTATTGTACTGTATCGTTTGATAAATACAATGTTTGGATACATTGTGTCGTTTGCCATCGTTTCATGATATCACGCACCAGCAATATGAAGAATACACTTGCAATATTATAAAGAAAAATTATGATACAACGTAAAATTACTATATAAAAAGGTAGGATAAATGATAAAATAAAATAATTTAATAATAATAGAGGGTGAGATTGAGAGAAAAAGACAAGGTAACGACGCGACCACACAAAATCAGTCGTTACATAAAGTGACACATTTCGTCGTTATGTAACGACGGATTTAACGATACGATACAATAAAATTTAAGTAACAATCAAAACAAATATTATATTTAAAATAACAATACGATACAATACAATGGGCAACAACCATCCAAACAAGCTGTAAAGAAAAAGAAAACACATAGTGAGGGAAAAAAGGAGTAATATATTGTGGCATAATTTGATTTTTAGAACTCTTAATTTATTTTTTTTGTCACAGCTCAGGATGCACTAATTTTCCTCACAAGATGGATGTCAAGATTTCCACAGTATAAATATAGAGATTTCTATATTTCTGGGGAGAGTTATGCAGGTAATATTTTTTTTAAAATAAAATTAATTTCCTAACAAAAATAATTTTAACATAGATTACATGTTCTTTTGTTTTGTCAGGGCATTATGTTCCCCAGTTGGCACAGGCCATTGTCAATTATAACAAGAAATTTCCACATCCAATCATCAATCTCAAAGGAATTATAGTAAGTAATTCATCTAATTTTGTAAAAATATTCTTCATATAAGGGAAATTTGCGCTTTGATCCCTCCATTATCGTTAAAGTTTAAATCTAGTCCTTGTGATTTTAGGTTAAGCATATCTAACATTCAATTAATCTTGGTTTAATGAATTATTAAGTGCTAAACCATTTAGTTACCAATATGTTATGTTAAATTAGTATTGTTTCTCATATTCGAGCATAATATACTTCTAAAAATAGTCTAAATATCATATATTTACTAGTATACAAAGTGGACCAAAATCAATCATTTTAACTAATTGAAGGCTAAACGCGCTTCGCCAATTGTTACAATGACCAAAATTAGAATTTACCAACAATCGAGGGACCAAAAGTGCAATTATCCCTTCACTTAAAGAGAATTATTTTAGAGAAATTTTCATAAAGCACTATAGTTTAGAGCCTAATACTATAGTTTGCCTAATTATCATTTGTAGCTATTGTTCAATTATTACTAACTTGTAATTTCAAACGCGCAACGAATATAACCTGTGTCAATTGTAGTCATACGCGCAACAAATACAACTTGTATCAAGTGTATTCATTTGCACAACGAATACAACATGTATCAACTGTAACCAAGGTGAAATACAAAAGTGTATACAAAGGATACAAGTTGTATCGGCTGTATACATGGGTGTATACAAAGGATACAACCTGTATCGACTATATTCATTCGCGCAACGAATACAAAAAAGGCGAAATACAACAATACGGAAAAATAAATTGGTCTTTTTGAGAGTCAAACTCAAGATCTTCGCTAACTAAGCGGGCGCTTTAATTTAACCAACTGAGCTACGAGAGCTTGTTGCTCTCTTGTTTCAGTTCAAAATAATTAATCTCTTGTTTCATGGATTTGCTATAAAATTCAAATAAGCGGGTGTTTTAATTTGACCGACGGGGCTACGAGAGTTTGTTGTTCTCTTATTTCAGTTCAAAACAATTAATCTCTTATTTCATGGATTAGCTATAAGCTACAAATGATAAATTTACTGAAAGTATAGCTACGAATGGTAAATTTGCTTAAGGTATAGCTACAAATGACAAATGACAAATACAGGTTAAATGTTTGATATGTCGCGTAGGAAATGCTTACATACTGAAAGCTTGAAATTTACACAGGTAGGAAATGCTGTTACTGATAACAAATATGATGGAATAGGAACTGTTACATACTGGTGGAGCCATTCTATGATTTCAGACAATACTTACAAAAAAATCATGCATTCTTGCAATTTCACATCAGAAAATTCCTCAAAGCAATGTGATAATGCAGTTACTTATGCTGTGAGCCATGAATTTGGTCAAATTGATCAGTACAGCATTTACACACCATCTTGCAAGGTAGAGCAGAATGAAACTCAGAAATATGTTCGGTTCAAGAACACGATTATTCATCGAAAGCTCTCGGGTTATGATCCGTGTACTGAGAATTACGCAGAGAAATATTATAATCGCGCTGATGTGCAGAAAGCCATGCATGCAAATACCACAGGAATTTCATACAGTTGGACTGCATGCAGGTACTCACATCTCTTGTACTTTTACATGCAAACGCAGGTTTAACGTGAATTCTGTAAGTTCAACTGAACATACTGCTTTCAACTCAAATTATGGATATATATGCAAAAAGCTTTCAAAATGTATACATGAAATAAGATCACATTCATTCTGAATCCACTGGCTTTGAATTCTTGATTCGCCACTTTCTATATGCCTCATTCACGCGTACAAGGGATAAGTTTATTCACCGGATTAAAACTTTCCGTAATCTCCACACTACTATATTTCAATCAGAGGCGGATCTAACATTTGAAGGTCGGGGTGCACTACTTTTGGATTCAACAAAAATCTGTTTTATATATAGGGTGTCTACTACTAATATATCACTATTTTCTAAAAACATATATATGTATACATGAAATTTTTGTCTGAATTTTACGAGGTGTATCGAAGACAGATATTCTGTGGGTTCAACTGAACCAGTTGGTCTCAGCTCAAACTATGTGTACATAAATGGATATTTGACAGCTTTCTTTTTTTTTTTTTGGGACAACAGTGACGTATTGTTAAAGAATTGGAAGGACTCTGATGATTCAATGCTACCAATCTATAAGAAGCTAATGGCTGCTGGTCTTAGAATATGGGTGTTCAGGTAAAACTAATGATCTTACTTAACACCTATATTGCTCGGACTCTCTGAAAATGTCAACGGGTGCATGTCGGATCCTCCAAAAGTAGTAATTTTGGATGATCCGACACCTATGCTGCTCGGACTCTTCAAAAATGTCAGCGGGTATGTGGCGGATCCTCCAAAAGTAGTGTAATTTTGAAGGATCCGACACCTATGTTGCTCGGACTTTCCGAAAATATCAACGGGTGCGCGTCGGATCCTCCAAAAATAGTGTAATTTTGGATGATCCGACACCTATGTTGCTCGGACTCTCCAAAAATGTCAGCGGGTGCATGTTGGATCCTCCAAAGGTAGTGTATTTTTGAAGGATCCGACACCTATGTTGCTCGGACTCTCCGAAAATATCAGTGGGTGCATGTCGAATCCTCCAAAAATAGTGTAATTTTTGAGGATCCGACACCTATGTTGCTCGGACTCTCCAAAAATGTCAGCGGGTATGTGTCGGATCATCCAAAAGTAGTGTAATTTTGAAGGATCCGACGCCTATGTTGCTCAGACACTTCGAAAATATCAGTGGGTGCATGTCGGATCCTCCAAAAATAGTGTAATTTTTGAGGATCCGACACCTATGTTGCTTGGACTCTCCAAAAACTTCAATGGATGCATGTCGGATCCTCCAAAAGTAGTGTAATTTTAGAGGATCCGATACTGATGTGACGGCATTTTGGAGAGCATGCGCAACATAGCCTAATAATTTTATAAATGTATTACAGTCTAGTTAGTCACCATAGGAAATGATGGTTTATATTTTAAAATGCAGTGGGGATACAGATTCAGTGGTTCCAGTGACTGCCACAAGGTTCTCTCTAAGTCATCTCAATCTCAAGATTAAAACTCCATGGTATCCTTGGTATTCTGGATCTCAGGTAAAATAAACATATTTTGTATATTCTACTAGGAGTACTAAACTTCAAGTTTGATTTCAAATCAAACTATATATACATATGCGAAAAGAATTTTAAATGTATACGTATGATAAGATCGGACTTATCTTGAACGCACTGACTCTAGGAGTGTTTATTTATTTATGAGGAAGTCATTTTCTGGTTTTTGGTTGACGTAATTGATTTTCTTCCATCATATGGGAGAAAACGATTCGGCTTACTTATGAGTGGAAGTCATTCTTCTTACAACTATCTGAACTTTAAACTTCGTATTACTTGTTTTAACTAATTATTAGAAATTAAACACAAAAATTTCATCAAAACACTCCTTGTTTGCTAAAACTACTATACATGATCATTAATTATATAATTTTTTAACACATTTTCAATTCACCAATCGAAAAACAGAAAAAAAAATTCATGGAAAATGACTCTCGTCGTACGAAACACACTCTGAATCCTGAATTCGCCTCTGAAAAATGAATATTGCGATTTTTGTAGGTGGGAGGGTGGACAGAGGTGTATGATGGGCTTACATTCGCGACGGTTAGAGGAGCTGGCCATGAAGTTCCATTGTTTCAGCCCAGAAGAGCATTTATTCTTTTTCAGTCATTCTTAGCAGGCAAAGAATTACCAAAAAATTGAGTAAATTCATCAAGATTGAAGCTTGAGAAGTTGAGAGGCAAAAGGCAAAAGGCAAATTTATAGCTCCTAAGAAATTATGGGAGTTTGAAAATTAGAGTTAGAATTGATTCATTTAAAATTGTGTATTTGAAACTCATCATTTCTCATTTGACAAGAAATGATTCTCTAGGAGAATCAGCTCTATCTAATAATTTCTTCACACTGCGTACAATGACATTTATTGTCCGGTCCTTCCCCAAACCCCGCACATAGGCTGCCCATTTTTCTCAAACGCAAGCAACTACTTATTAGCATCATTTCTTTATCAAGATTGCAAAAGGAATTGGATAAGAAAATGTGTGAAGCCAAATCACATTTTAATACTTTCTTCCATGCAATAAAAAAGAACTTTTATAGATCCTAGGACAAAGATTTTGGGTATGCGAACAAAGTCTGAAACTTGATATGAAAAAGTAGTGTCATATAAGGTATATCGATAAACTTATCATGATATGAGGCATTAGTTTGGCTTAAAACAAACTGTATCATATCATGTTAAGAGTGTCTTTGAGTCGCTTAGCTCAATAAAAATTAACAGGAAATTAAATCATCGAAATTCATGAAGAAGTTAAAAATGTTTTCACAAGGCCAACACAAATAAACTTGTTTTTTCACTAGTATATTAGAATTGAAGAACAAAGAGAACCAGAAAGAATTAAAAAGAGTAGCATTAGTTTTTCTTAACAAGAATTTGATGTTCTTACTTCTATGCTTTACTGATGTGCAGCCATTATATGCCTCACTAATTAAAAGTCAATTTCTGCACAAGAAATATTCAAAATATGTTAATATTGCAGTCTCTGTAATTTCCATATTGGCAGCTTTATTCCCATAATCGAAATTTAGTGTCATCTTAACTTCGAAGGGAAGCTTTGGTATAACTGGTAAAAGTTGTCGCCATATGACCAGGAGATCACGACTCACAGGTTCAAGCCGTGAAAACAATTTGTTGCAGAAGAAACAGTTTATTGCAAAAATACAGGGTAAGATTGTATACAATAGACCCTTATGATTCGGCCCTTCCCCGGATTCCGCACATAGCGGAAACTTAGTGCACCGGACTGCCGTTTAGTATCATCTTAACTTCAATTTAGCTCATTTGAACCACTAACCAAATCAAGTAATGTCAACGGATTATGTTGATTATATTTTCATCACTGCCAATCAATATAGCATGTATATCATTATCACTATATATATCTGAGTTTTCTTTATACAAAAAGGAGAAAAACACACCTACATCATATTGGAGAAAAAAAAAACTCTAGGAGTAACTTTTTTCTTTTTTGACAACGGAGAAATCCCCGAGGGCCAGTCACGACCTCTTTGGATAGGGCAGCTAGAACTGTAATAGTGCTTGCCCTAGATCAAAAGTTTTTAACTAGGAGTACTATTTAACTGAAACAGTAAACGATGGATCAAACCCTCAAAGCAACAGGGTCTTGCCACGATATCTTTCGCTTCTCAACACGAGAAGTTCCTTCTCCCAAATTTCTGCATATCGATAACTTCAAATCGCTAGGCTGATCATCGTTTAGGTTTCTGATTAACCCTCTCTTTGGATCCTCAAACATCATTGGTTCGGTATTTGCTTGTGGTTCCTCTTCCCCCATCTGCAAATTAGAAGTCAAAGATACAACGTGTTAATCACAAAATTGTACAACAAATTCCCTCAGTTTCATTTTATGTAAATGTGTTTGACCGAATACGGAGTTTAAGCAATAAAGAAAGACGTTTGAAACTGACATTTCTCTTACAAAATGGTTAGTGCAAAGTGAAAGTTTATCCAAATATAGAAATGTGGCATTTTTTGGAACAGACTAAAATACAAAAAGAGTCGCATAATATGGAATATAGGAAGTAACATATAACAATGTACTTCAGGTTTCTAGTTCAGATATTTACCGAGATTTCATTCAAATCAATCACCGGAGCTCGACTTGGCAATGTGACATCTTTCCCACCATGAAGAGTTTCTTGATTCAAATCAAAGATGGGTGCGGTGCTCCTCGAAACAGAACCATTCCCAGTGAATGATCTGTCGTTTTGATTCAAATCAAATGCTGGAACTGCTTTTCGGAATGGCACTTCCTTTCCACTGTATACTCTTGATTTATGGTTCAAACTTGAAACCGTGCTATGCAAAACATCGTCTTTTCCAATACATAATGTCTGCTTATGACTCATGAAAATATCAGGAAGCGTCTTCAGCGGAGCAGCTTCCTTTGCAACATGCATCTTCCCTTTCTGTTTTGGCAAAGGAAGAGGGGGCAGTTTATATAGCCTTGCCTCTTTTTTGCTTGGAAGTCGATCCTTCATCCCATTTTTACAATACAACACCGGGTTTGGCAGGGCTGCTCGTTCTTGCTCCTCCGGATGACTCGACTTCATTCGCAGTAGGTATTTGTGCCTTCGACGCAAGTAACTGCAAATTTGCGCGAAATGCATTCAGAATAAAAAAAAAGGAGAACTCTGCAAATATTTTGGAAAACCGGTTGCACCAGCCGGAGGAGGATCCATAATTTAAACTTGGCGTGTTCAACCATTAATATACGTAAACATTATAATAATTGACCAATAACAAAAATGATTTAGTGTCAAAGTCGGCAACTAAGTTGACCTCAGGCAATCTTCTTATTAGAACCTATACTAACATAATGTAAATGAAATCCAAATAAGAAAAGAAAAGAAAAACAACAAGAATACTTACTGAATTTCAGCAAGTAATCTTTGTTTCCTCATTTTTGCATCCTCCAATTTGTCCCTCATATCACTAGTTTCCTGTAAACAATAATTATCAAGTTAACTGAATATTTACAACCACACTTTTGTATGCGACTCAACAACAAAAACTCTTGTGTCGAGGGAGGATAGAGTACGCAGACCTTACCCCTACCCCAAGGGAGTAGAGATGCTTTTTTCGATAGACCCTCGGCTCAAGAAGACGAAACAAGACAATATATCAGTACTATCCACATCAACAAAAACCATAGAAATAATAGCAGCATCATAAGTACCAGAAAATAGATGAAAATCAACAACAATAACACATAAGTAAGGCTTGGTACTATGAAAAGTGGAAGAATAGTATGGACTTTCGTATGCGGCTCGATTCAGCAAAAGTTAATCAATGTTCTAGCATATAAAAATTGAACTATGGTACAAGGTTAGGGAAGCTTTAAAATTCTGAAAGGGCAAGCAATTGAAAATTTTCTCAACTCTAAAATGGCACAAGGTTAAGGAAACAAAAGTTCTTCAATTCACAAAACTAAGGAAAACTAACAAACTACTACTACTACTAGGAGGCAAGATTTCGCTAAGAGGGTTCAAAAAAGAAAAAGTTAAAAATTAAAAGGGACTATCGCCAATGGGAATTGAACTAGTAACCTCACAAAGGTTTTGAACCCCGTTGACTTCTAAGCTATGCTTTTGGATTGTGACGAGGGGATTCAAAATATAATATATGGAAGCACCTTATACATACAGCGCAATTTTTTGGCAAAGGGAGTTCGGGTGAACCCCTTTCCAACCCCCTTAAATCCGCCCAAATACTATGACCTCAGTCCCAAATAAGTTGGGGTCAGCGGTATGAATCCTCACTTCTCCATTTAAGCTCAACTCACAACAACAACGACCCAGTGAAATACCACTAGTGGGGTCTGGGAGGGTAGTGTGTAACCTTACCCCTATGCCAGCTCAACTCAAAACAAAAAAAAAACAAAAAGAACAAAAATCAAACACAGGGTAAAGCCCCAATAGTTGAGAGCTGGAAAAGGTTAACTTCATCCAAATAATTGAACATACAGACAACACAAAATAACCCAAGATTCATCAAAAGGAAACAGATCAAAACCAACAATGATACCTACAGGAATCTAACAACAAAAAACTCCAATAGAGACAAATCAACCAACTGCTCAACACAAAAAACCCCAAACACACACACACACACACACACACATCAAAGAGAAAGCATAGATCTTCAAAACAAAGGGCCAAACTTATTACCTTATGGAGTTCTTGAAAGTCCTGAAACAACGTCTGATGCTTCAATCTAGCCTTAGCATCCTCAAAAACAACATATTTTGATGAATCTAAAGCAACCCTTTTCATCTTCTTAGACATATTTAATCAAATCACAAAGAATTCAAAACACCAAACACAAAAAAGAACCGATCTTTGGATGTAAATGAAGAAACCAAGAAAAGGGTATGGCGACAGAAGAGAGAAAAAGAAGAGAAAAGATGCGTGTGAAATGAGAAAGATAAGAACAATAATGAAACAAATAGGGCAAAGGGTAATAGAGAAAAGAATAGAAAAGACAGAACCAATTCGGGGGTATGGGGGTGGTGGGGTGGGTGGAGAAGAGATAGAGAGAGTGTATTGTGGTGAGAAAGTTCTTGCCTTTGCAAAAACTCTGACCAGGACAAACCCACATAAACCGGTAAACAAGAAAAAAGAAAAAAGAAAAAAAAACAGTAATAATAATAGTAGTACATAACATAATACACACACAAACATTGTTTCTTGTTGTTGTTCTTTTAAGACAGTGATGAAGATGGAAAGAGGGAGGGGGAGGGGGGGTATATAATTTTTTTGAGGGGGAGCAGAAAGGGTATTTCTGGTAAAAATTATGACTTTTGGTTTAGTATGTGTATATGTGAAGTGGGTTTGGTTGTGTATGTCCATTCTTGATTTCTTTTGAGTTTTTCTTGAATGTATATATTTNGAGGGGGTGGAATTTCATGTTTCTTGAATCTTCTTCTTACATTACTTTGGCTTTCTGAGAATTAGGATATACACATATATGTAGCTGTAGCAGTCATATAGATGTACAAAATAGAAGAAAAAAGAAGGTAATTGTGACTTATGAGGTGGACTTTTATTAGGGGTAGGGGGGGTGTCACTGTGTGTCTGTGTGTATTTTTTTGCTTTTGAGAGAGAGAAAGTAATGAGGCTATGGATTTTGCTGAAAAAGAGGAGAGAGAGAGAAAGATGCTTCTTTTTTTTCTGATTAGTATGGCAAAGGTGTTGTGTACCTTGTTTTTAGGCTGGTGTTTCCTCTACTGATAGTGATGGGCCATTATTTTATACATAATGATATTCTATAGCCGCAGTAAAAATAATAGCTAGAAAAATATATATATAAATTATACATAAAATAAATTTATGTATAATACATAAATTATATTCATGTTTTATACATAAATTATACAAGTTTTGTATATTTTTTCGGCTATCAAATATAAATAATTTCTGACGCGGGTTAAAAATGATAATACTCTATTATTATACTACTCTACTCCCCATGGTGTGGCCAATTGTGTTTTTACTATTTTACCCTCCTTTTAAGAAGTTTATCTTTCTTGACTTTGGTTCAAGATTCATCACCAGTCTGCTATTGGAAACCATGATTGTGAAGCTTTTTTTCTTAACTCTGTCAGCCATTAATATTTGTTGTGTGCCATGTGGTCCCCACCCATTTAAAAAGGATATGTTCGTTTTTTTATTAGTACTCTCATCTCCCATTTTATGTTATACTTTCTCTTAAGAGCCCGTATGGACATAAGAAATTTTTCACTTTTTTTTTTTAATTTTTTTTAAAATTAGTATTTGATCATAAAATTTTTAATTTTTATTTGAAGATGAACTTTTGAAATTTTTTAAAAATTTAAAAAATTCTATAAAGTTATTTTTCAAAATTTTCTCTTAAATCACTCGTAAAACTTCTAAAACAACCCAAAATTATATTTATGTCCAAACATAACTCTAATTTTCAAATATCATTATCACTTAATTTTTTTCACTTTTTTAAAAAATTTTACAATTCTTACGTCCAAACTCCCGCTAAATATATTTTAAAAAAAGATATTTTTTAAAAAAAATATTTTTTTATTTTACTCTTAATAATATGATTTATTAAACTCGGCTTGATATAAAATTTATTTTTTAAAAAAATAATAAAAGACATGTCAAATTCTCATTATCATTTATTTATTTAAAATAATTTTGGTATTTCCTAAAAGTATATATTGGGGTTATATGTCAAATGTTTTATATAAATTTATATATTTCAAAATTTCTTATCTAATCAAATATTTTTACATAAATTCATACAAATGAAATAGTAATTTAAATAGGCTGATGGTAATTTGGTCATTAGGATTTCCTCTTTATTTTTATGAATTAAAATATTCATCACCAACCATTAAGTCTGCTATGGGCATCCATGGCTCTGGAGATATCTGTTCTTACCTCTTTGTGGTCCCTACACCTCACCCCCACCCCCCATTTACAGGGTAGGGGTAAGCTAGTAATTTTACCTAATTATAGATAGGGACTAGGATGATATAAACAAAGCCTATTTTTAACAAAACCTTATTATAAGTTATAGGTTGCATTTTGCATTTAGATTTTATTCTAGTGTTAAGAGCGTAACGCGTAATTTATGAGGTAGGTGCAGTTCACGGATTCAAACTATATAACAAACAAAAGTTCTAATGGAGAAGAGAGCACACAAATTATTTATCGAGTTTCGAACCGTACGTTAAATAAACCTCGGGTATTTTTCGAGTATCAAAAAACAAGATTTGCATCTCCACCAAACTCAAAGTGGTAAGAATATACAACAACAACAACAACTACCCAGTAAAATCCCACAAAGTGAGGTCTGGGGAGGGTAATGTGTACGCAGACTTTAACCCTACCCCGACAGGACAGAGAGGTTGTTTCCGATAAACTCTCGGCTCAAAAAGACGAAAATAAAAACAGAAAAAAAGTGGTAAGAATATATGTTCGGAAATATTACTTTATTTTTAATTAGAGATTTTAAATTCGAGTTTTTTAAATGAAATATTCTAATTCTTTAGTGAGAAAAGATAAAATTATTGGGAGACAAAAGAGAAAGAGACACTTCACTACAGAATGGTTGAAAATATTGTTTTACAGAAAAAACTGTAAGTTTTAGTTGTTAGTGGGGAGAGGGTACTTTATATATGCCTACCCATTTAAGGCAGAAAAGCTGCTGGTTTCTTGAAAGTTTGGTTACCTCCTTTAACACAACAACCGAAAAATAACCGCTTTAAAATAATAGCCGAAATATTTTTTGTGTGTGTATATATATATTTGTATATATATAAATTATATACAAAATTTATATACTTTTTCGACTACCAAACATAAATAGTTTTTATCGCATGCTAAAAATAATAATACCCCTTAATAATGTTGTCGGTCATATTAGCTCACATAAGTATCTAGGGGCGCAACTCTTTTTTGCCGGAAAATTATATTGTACGTATATAATTTATTTATTATTTTGTATATATTTATATCTTAATAATTTAATAAAAATATTGCCTCGACCACTATTTGCTCTAAAAACTTTCGAACTTTTTCCATTATATTCTATACGGAAAATGTCCAAATATATCCTCGAACTATGTAAAATTGAGTTTTACCCATTGTTAATACATAATTACCCCCTTTGAACCACTTGAAATTAGTTGAAGGGGATATTAGGACTTGTGTAAAGTTTTAGTGTCTATTGAGAAAAGAGACATAGTTTTAGGAGGTAATTATGTATTCGTCATATTTTAAATGGCTCCATATGGGGCATATTTAGTCTCGCACGACGGAGCCACATTCAATCAAGGGATGTCAATCGACACCCTGTCGCCGGAAAATTATATTGTATTGCAAGATAATTTTTTTGTTTTACGTATATTTACTATACGTTCATTCTCCTAAACTTTTTGGTGTTTTTTTTGACACCCGTTGGTAAAAATTCTGGCTTCGCCAGTACTCACGCGCATACTTTGAGAGCGTATTTGGCTCATTAATGGCCCCTTCAAATCGATTACTTTTCTTTTGTAAATATTAAATATGAATAAAGAGCAGCAAAGTGTTGAAAAATATAAATCATTTCCATATATTCTATATATAAACAACATATACTACAAAAAAGTAAGGTCTGCGTACACACTACCCTCCCCAGACCCCAGTAGTGGAATTATACTCGATTATTGTTGTGGTTGTTGTTGTACTACAAAAAGGGGTTGTGATTTCTTGTTTGATTGAGGTGTATAAATTGGCTTTATGTGCATGTGTGTAAGAAAGAAGGAAAGAAAGGAAGAGGAAAGGTCTTAATCTAATAGCCTTTTTTGATTGATGCATTAAAGACATGGTTAGGAGAGAGATGGAATGTGACATGTGAGGAAGCTTACATAAAGCAACTGGTTTAGCTTATTTTGTGTACTTGTTTTCATTTCCTTTTTATAGTGCAGAGAGGTTAATTTTATTTTTTGCCTCAACTAAGTTTCACATGGTCCACCAGGGGTGTTCATTCGGATCGGATATCCGAAATCCGAACCTATCCATTCAATTTTGGATTTCGGATTGGATCGGATTTCGGATTGTGTTTATTAAAATTTCGGATTTCGGATCGGATTTGGATTGGTATATCTTAATCCGATCCGATCCGAAATTATTAGGTAATATATAAATACTACACTTTAATTTCGGATAGTCAGTACTTCCTTTACATCTTCTTTCAAGTTATTACCTTTACAATTGCTAGATTTAGCTATATTGGTACCGTAGTACTCTCATAATTGCATAAACATGAATTTTTCTTAATATCTTGCCTCTTTTACAAAGAAAATATACATATTAGTTTGCAACCTTGAGGCATAATAATATCTGAAATCCGATCCGATCCAATCTTTAAAATCCGATTCGATCCGATATAATTCAGATCGGATTCGGATTGCATTTTCTAGAATCTGAAATCCGAAATCCGAATCCAAAATGTACGAAATCCGATCTGATCCGATCCATGCACAGCCCTATGGTCCACCATTATTCATAGGCTAATTGGAGATTAATTTATTGCCGCCCACATCATCCGAGTATTTATGGTTACCGAGACCAAAGGTTGTGTATGCATTTTCAAAGCTACTGGTAAAGGTCGTAAATCGGTCTATATACGAGCAAAGACGCTAAGTCGGGCCCCGCACCACATTTTGCCATCTTCATATTTGTCCAATCGAACTATTGACTCTAATACCAGTTGTTGAGCTAAACTATTTTTAAGATACTCTTGACATGGTGAAATATTATCTGCATTAAATCAAACTATCAATGTTTTTCCCGAAAAACCTAACACAATTAAGAGTATCCAATACATTATAAATACGTAACTTATTTTTCTTTTCTATTTCTCAAATTCTCAAAATCATTTTGCCATTAGATATATCTAAAAATATAGTAACTATTAGAAACCTATAAAGACTTAAAGAGTAGGGAATCAACCTTATATATGACTCACCTTTAAACAATTGAAAAGCCTTTGGTTTATAAATAATTGTTTTAGTGCTTAAGTAAATATAATTATAAAATCGTGCACCTCAAGATTAATTTCATCTTAATTATGCAAGATTAAGTTTTTGCATACCTTTTTAGAAACGCAAAGGACAATCAAATAGGGCATCTAATCGACCAGTAGTATTAGACTTTAAAAAAAATAGTTTGGTTTATCCATTTTATAATATATTTTTAAAATATTGGACCTATTTTTTCCCCATTCATAAATGCTTGTATTTTCTCATTTGCATGCTCATGTCATGCTCAAGTTTGTTAAATTGGTTCTTGTTGGAGCCAAATACACACGCAAGTATACACGATACACGATCAACAAGTTATAAAATAGTGAGTTAAGAGTATCATTCCATGAGTACTTACTAATTACTATAGTGTAAAACAATAAAATAAGAAATTAAAGAAAACAAGCTTATAGACTGAATTCAATAAAAGAAAACATTCCTAAAATATGTGTTAATATCTAATTAGTTGCATTGCAGTGATACCGATGTTTCACAAACATTGCAATCAATATTTTAAAAAAAATATTACACCCAATATTTACAACAAATCGTATATTTGCCATTTCGAGCCAACTAACAATCTTCCATGAGATTACATTACCCAAGAAATTTTATTTCTTTGGTACCCTCTTTCAATGGACTTCCTAACCGCCAAAAGAGTGATGTAACCATAAATGGAAATAACTAATGAATAAACTGGGGCCAAACTTTTGTTCAAGGAGAGAAAATTAAATGTCATGTCATTTTAACCCTTACCAAAAACTATTTAAATTCGGATTCAAAAAAGCATATAAAATGTTATGTATACAAAAAATATATATTTTCTGGCTATTATTTTGAGAGTGTCTATACCGTATCAGTTTCCCAATATATTTTCCAACCAAACACCATTTCAAACGCATATGAGTCACTTTTAAAATCAATGAAATAGCTAAACCAACAAAGGCAAATGAGACTACTCACATATTTAACAATGTAAGATTAGTTAAGAGTTCAAATCATAGTTGGTTGACAAGCTGCCGCAGTTCACCTCACGATTCTTCTAACCTCTACATCTTAACATAAATTAGATAATACTGAACATGACTTAACTCCTGCATTACGTAGGGGTAAGGGTCTGCGTACAGACTACTCTCCCCAGACCCCACCTATTGGATTAAACTGGGTTTTCCCCAGACCCCACCTGTTGGGATTAAACTGGGTTTTTTTTTGTTGTTGTTATTACTGAACATGACTTAACTCAGTTATCACTTGTGGTGACCGCTTCTTGTTCTTCGGGGTTAATTCTATTGACAGTTGCACCCACATCATCGGTCACTTCAGTTTTTTCGACATCTTTTGGTGTTTCATTAACAGTTTGAGTGCTCTCAACCTTAGCGGTTGAAGTAGCAATGCCGCGGTCATTGAGTTCCTGGAGCCGAGCCATATGCTTCTTCCCTGTCCTGTGTGCCTCCATCGATTTCTCGGACAAAGCCCCTACTTTGCATGTTGCACACCAGAATTTGAACTTTTTCTTCTTAGTCTGCTTAGTCTTTTGCTTTTCCTGAGCCGCATTTGCACCTTTTCCTAAGCGATCAGCATGGTGTTGCGAAGATGGTGTGACGTTGTCCTTTGTACCTTCTTTCTCCGAAATCTCTAGAGATGTTCCCTCCACTGATTTAGTACCAGGTAAGAATTCAACTTTCGGTTTTACGTTGAGATAGTCGTCAACTTTTGTTTTTTTGGGGAAAAGACCGATACTATAGTTCTTCCCGTTCCTCTGTGATATTAAAGCAGCCTCCTTGGACTTATGCTTCTTTCCTTGGAGGTGATCATTCAGACCACGCTCACTTGTCGCACTGACTTGGCAAAGCGCACAACTCCAGTCCTCTTTACCATTTGTCTTTGGAACACTGCATGACGGAGGCTTACTGGCAACCTCCACTAGTGGCGTGATAGCTTTCCTTTTTGCTCCAGAGAGACTAGTATTAGGCTTACCCTGCAGCAAAATGCTCAAAAGAAGTCCGTGAACAAGCACTGCTTGAATTTTCACAACCTGATTAGTGGTGAACTGAACTGAAAGCCTATTCACAATTTTTCATAAAAATCTAGATAACTGAAGAGAGCAACACTGGCTAATATACCAAATGCAAAGTGACGTTAGTTAATGCAAGATTTTAAACACACATTGGATATTAGTATAGTGTAAATGTTAGAACTTCTGCATTTTTTTTATGATTCAAAATAATTTTACTAATTTGGCACCAAGCCAGTGTCAGTACACAACAAGAAAAGTACATCAAACTACCAGATAATGCAACCTACTATTAACCTAATATGCGCCCTGCTTTATCTAGAGATGCAAAGAGAGATAGAAACCGCAAACCCCTGCCTTTTCCCTTTGTGGATTCCAATTGTTATTCACCTATGCCTTTTTGTCAAACTCTCTCCTCAGGTCCAGTTAATCCAGTTAACACACGGATTTCCCTTCTTTTTTGAACTTCTCCGGCTTGTCAGTTAATGTAATGTATTGGTCTCCCAATCGCCAGCCATTACCTCCTCACAACTACCTCTCCTTCAACTTCACATTATGGGCTCTCAAAGATAACTGAACAGCTAAATCCTACAGCCCAACTCAGCTTCTCTACTGTAGGATATCAGCTGCATGCAGATAATTTGCTTGATCTTTCTTTACTCTTCCACTTTTCATATCTCTTTATTCCTCTCGCCGTAGTTTATTGGAGATGCCGATCACTTCAAGTCCACTGAATTCCTCCATCTCTATTCAGGTTCCCTAGCAATAAATAGGATTTTGTTCTCCTTGCTAGCCCTTCTCTCCTTCTAATTTCTTTTTATTCTGGTAAGCAGGAATAAGGCCTCATTCCTTTTTCTGATGACAGGGATAAGGCCGTACCCATTGGTTGAGATGCCCAGGGATTTACCAAATTGAGGAGTTTCTGGAGAGCCCATAACGATTTGTCAGAAGCCCTCCTCCCTGTATCTTCACCGTCATCCTTTTCTATTTTTAAAGGTTTGACGTCTTGCTTTATTTAATAGGGGTGTAATTTCAAAGCCTGATATAAGTTTCGTACTCTCTGTTTTTTTTTGTTTTTTGTTTGAGAATGAACTTTCCTACTCTCTATTAGTGTCACTATGCGCCAACCAATTGCTGGAACTTTATCATAGAGTTCTTTACTCGCCCAGGAATCACTCTTCAGATATGCCGTGCAAGTCCCTGCTTTGCGCTAAAACAAAGCATCAATTCCAACCCAGCACCTCCCACCCCCCTTTGTTTGGCGTACTTTATAATAGTCGAAGGGCCATACTGTGGTATTATGCTACCTTGCAGTCGCAGGAGCTTCGGGACCTCCAACCTTTATTCTCATTCTCAGGTTAGATTCATTCTCAGGTTTTTAGCTTTCTTCCTTCAACCCAACCATTGTCAAATATTATATAACAGTCTTTTTATCAGAATACTCAAAATTTAGATCATGATTCCCAAGATGAGATTTCTTATGATTAATCCAACAGTAAGCAAATTGCAATTTTGAAGAGCAAATTTCATCACAAAACTAATAATAAATAATGACAGATGGTTAAAATAGTTAATCCTGTGTAATTGTCTAAAATCACAGTTTGAACACGACTTTAATAGTTGAATCAAAATTTTGAAGTATGATTTTAAAGTACAACAACTACTATTATGCATCAATCTCAAATGAGTTGGGGGTCGGTTATAAGAATCCTCACCAAACTCAATCTAAAATCATCTCAGGCCAATATTATACAAAATAAAAGTAAAGTATAAGAAGTTTACATTTTCTACTGACTCCTAGAAAGCATAGGATGTAAAGTAAAAGAGCTAACATGACTAAAACAAGGCAGATGTGTTTTTGTTAAGGCGGCTGGGACCGTTTGGCGGTTTTACCATTTAGGACCAGGTCAGTTTGGCCCGCCATTGGACCGGGCCAAACGGAATTTTTTTAAAAAAAAAGAGCAGTTGGCTTTAAAAAAAAAAAGAAGAGTCGTTGGCTCTTCAAAAAAGTCATTTTAACCTCCTCCAACTAATTTTTAACCCAAAACTTTTTATTATTAGTAACTGTGCTAGCAATAAACTGCCTTATATGCCGTGAAACAATTATTCTATAAGCAATTATGTGCTTTTGCATTATCCAATCCTCATCAATCCAATGACATGTAACAATAAGGTAATCATAGTCGTTGTTACTTCTACCAATATCAGTTGTAATAGCAACACGACAATTTATATGAGTAAATAAGTAGCACAAATATTATTCATATTTATGCTTATATTTATAAATATCGCTCTTTACAGTTGTGCGAGGAAAACCTTTATAAGTAGGATTTTAATTTTTTCTAATGTAATGCACAAACGTAGGGTCAGATGGAAAACTATAGGGTAAGCGCATAACAGTTACCAATTTTGTCAATTCTTCCCGATCTTTTCTTGGATCATAATATAAAATACCACCGGTAACAGTGTTAATTCCCAGTTGAAATTGATTTGAACCAGTACCGCTAGGGTCAGTCTGACTAGGACTAGGTGCACTTTTCCCCTCGGCCAGAGCTTTCATACGAAGATATTTGGCGTTATCATTAGGGTGTTTAGCTATGTGTCTAGACAGAGCTCCCGTCCCCGACCGCGTCGGTGCATATTTAAAAGCTAACTCTATACCACAAATTTTACACTTAGCCTTACTTTTTTCAACTAGTTGAGTAAAAAATGGCCAAACAACATATGTTTTCGTCCGCTTGGTAGGCTCTCTAGAAAAAGTAGGGGTAGTAACGGGAGTATAGTTGGGTCATCATTAGGATTAGCAATATTATCACTAGTTGGGTCAACATCATGAGAATGGCTAGTGGGTGTATCATCGTCCGGTTGAATTTCATCAAAAATAATTTCATCATCATTGTTTTCATTAATAGTAATCTAATCATTAGTGTAGAGAGCTTTCATTAATTCATGGTCTAAGAATCACTGATGCAATACTATGGCAAAATTCAGTGTCGGTAAATTGTAATAAACTATTATTGGTATCAAGAATAGCAGGTGTACGATGTCTACGTGGTTTGGATCTGGGCCCGGGGAAGAGGAACAGTAGTACCACTAGTTTCGCCAATCTTAGATTTTGCCTTATTAATATCAAATAAATAAAACAAACAAAACTATAATATTAAACTTAAGAGTTGGAACGAGTTACCAAATTGACGAACAACTCGTTGAAAATTGATTATCGTTGAAGACTTGAAGACTCCAATTCACAAACTTCACATTTTTTCACAAATTCTAACAACCTCAATATTTTTTGACTATTTTTTTGAATAAAGTAAAATATAGTAGCAAACTCACAATTTTTTGACTATTTTTTTTTTTTGATAAAGTAAGCAATTGTAGCAAGTATTGAAAAAAATTAGAGAGAGATTTTGATAGATTGATATTGATTTCGTAAGAAAAATGAAAGAATGAGAAAGTATTAAACCTGTTAATCGGGCCGGGCTGACCCGTTTTCAGCCCGCTACAACCCGGTTCAGCCCGCTACTGTTCACTATTGGGCGGGTTGGGACGGGTTGGTAGGGGCGGGTTGTGGACGTTCATGTTCTGGTTAACGGTGCACCAAACCCGCTAAGCCCGTGACCCGTTAGCGGGTTGCTAACGGGCTGCAACCCGTTATGAGCACGTTTACTATTGCTGAATTTTTAAAAAAAAAAATTATTTGGACCGTTGCCAACGGTCAAATTGAGAAATGACCGTTGGGGAACGACCAGATTTTGAAGAAATAGCCATTTCGGCCTCCCCCATTAAAAATATAGCCCTCCCACCCCTAATAATTAAAAAAATTACATTTTTAACCTTTNTACTGTTCACTATTGGGCGGGTTTGGACGGGTTGGTAGGGGCGGGTTGTGGACGTTCATGTTCTGGTTAACGGTGCACCAAACCCGCTAAGCCCGTGACCCGTTAGCGGGTTGCTAACGGGCTGCAACCCGTTATGAGCACGTTTACTATTGCTGAATTTTTAAAAAAAAAAATTATTTGGACCGTTGCCAACGGTCAAATTGAGAAATGACCGTTGGGGAACGACCAGATTTTGAAGAAATAGCCATTTCGGCCTCCCCCATTAAAAATATAGCCCTCCCACCCCTAATAATTAAAAAAATTACATTTTTAACCTTTTAAAATCTATAAATAGCCCCCTTCTTTTTTATTTTTTCACACAATTCACTCTCTTTCAAGTTACTACTCTAATTCTCTCTCAATTCTCTCTTGATATTATTGTTCTTAAATTCTCAATTCAAGACTTCAAGTTAAATCATGCCCCGTACTTTTAGAGTGCGCTCATATGTTTGGGAACACTTTGAGGTGGTAGAAGAAAATGAAGAAGCTCAGAAATTAAAGTGCAAGAACTGTGGTCTAGTCTTAAATCTTCGTCCAAAGTGTGGCACAGGCTCTTTAAGGAGGCATATCAAGAGTTGTCTTGAGCGTACTCCAGAAATTCGTATTTTAAGTTGATTTGAGACAATTTGTGTTATTTTAAAATTATTAGACGTATTTATGCTTAATGTTTTAGTTTGTTAGATTAATTTGAATTTTTTATTATTAATTTATTATGCATGAAAATTTAATTTTACTCTTTTTCGTTCAATTTTATAAATAATTTGCCTATTGGTCTTATTAAATAATTTTTTATAGCCATTTACTTTCTAATTTCAATTTTATAATTTTAAAATACAAATTTCAAATTTAAAACTTTAAACTTCAAAGTTTAATACTAGGCCTTAAAAGTTTGCAAATATTTACGTATCAATAACATTGAATAAGAAAAATAAAATTTAATTTAAAAAAAAAAAAAAAGTAGCCCGGCCCACCCGAACGGGCCCTAAAAAACCCGAAATTTCCCAACCTGCCCCCAGCTCGTTATCCCAGCCCGCCCGCTAACCGAACGGGCTGGAGTTTTTCTCGTTCAGTCAGTCCCAGCCCGCCCGATAAACACCTATAAAAGGTATTTATAGTAGAAAATAGGGGAAAAGTGTAATAATAAAAAGTTTGGGGTTAAAAATTAGTTGGGGGTTAAAT